ACAAATCAAAGCATTAATCCTGACATTATGCTGTGATGGTGCTCCATCACTGGAGACCTTTAAGAAGAGACTAGACATTCACCTGTCTGAGATGGTATAGGTCCTCCTGCTTGAGCAGGGGGCTGGACTAGAAGACCTCCAAGGTCCCTTCCAATTCTATTCTATTCTATTCTATTCTATTCTATTCTATTCTATTCTATTCTATTCTATTCTATTCTACTCTACCCTACCCTACCCTACCCTACCCTATTCATGGAAAATGAATCTCTAACATGATCTCTTAAAAGATGTCTAGAAGCTTGTGGCTACATAGGGATTCCAGTCTGATTCCTCTTTTAATGGCTCCTCCAGGTTCTGTTACCCCTTTTCCTACCCCTTTCTTCCTGGGACTCCAGACTATATTCCAACTACAAACACCACACAAAGATAAATGAAGCAACTACCCATTGCAATAAGGAGCTGATCAGCCTTCAACAGACACTGACAATCAACCGCCCGGAAGGACCATTGGAATTGACAGCTTCCCAGGCAATTGACACACCCTTACATTTCCGGTGATAACTAAGCAGCCCAGCTGGTCGATGATGAGCACGTCGAGAGGAGACGGCGGCTGGCAGAACTTCTGCTGCAAAATCTGGAGAATGGGTTCCATCACTTTGGGGGTGTCTCTCAGAGCCACTGCTATGTGGCCCAGCGCACGGATTGTGTGGTCTGGAATCAGGTGGGCTTCCCTGAAGAAAACAACACGGCACACAATTTGCAAAAAACTGTATGCGTGTCAATGTAAAAAACTGATCAATAAAGTGGAACATTTGTAGCTCAAGGTTGAAGTAAGAGGTCTTTGATGCTCTCTGAGCTTTTCTTGCAGATGTTTCATGATCCCACTAGGTAACATCACCAGTGCTAGAAGGAAGTGGGGTCTGGGGAGAGGAGGAGGAGGAGGAGGAGGAGGAGGAGGAGGAGGAGGAGGAGAAGGAGAACTGTGGGGTCCTCAGTGCTAAATTTGGTCATTTGCTTGCAGACGTTTTATTACCCAACCAGGTAAACATCATCAGTGCTACAAAGGAGTGATGTACGTGGAGAGGAGTGGGGGGTCCTTGGTGTTCTCTGAGCTTGCTTGTTTTCTTGCAAATGTTTCATGACCCAAACTAGGTAACATCATCAGAGCTAGAAGGGAGTGGAATGTATGGAGAGGAGCAGGGAGGGGAGGGAAGGAGGGAGGGAGAGCTGAAGGAAGGAAGGAAGGAAGGAAGGAAGGAAGGAAGGAAGGAAGGAAGGAAGGAAGGAAGGAAGGAAGGAAGGAAGGAAGGACTGTGGGGTCCTGGGTGTTCTCTGAGCTTAGTTGTTTTCTTGCAAACATTTCATGACCCAAACTAAGTAACATCAACAGTCCAGCACTGATGATGTATGTGTATCTAATTTGTGTAATGAAATATTTGTGAAAAATGTGTTCACCTAGCAATGGAATATTCCAGAAAGCTTCACTTCTATTTTCTTCTGGATCGTGCCGAATGTGCTCCCAGACCATGCCAATTCAGGGGAGACTTGACTTTCGGGAAGCAGAAGCAGTCTGAAATGTTTTGGTCCAAAACAGGTTTGTCTCCAGAACATCCCTAGAAAACCTCAAATTGCTTCCACTTCAGATAATTTATTTTTGGAGTCCGCTCAACTGCTGCTGAAGAGCAGAGAGGAGAGAAAATGGAACAATTTTATTGCCAGACTGAGGCGTTTTTGACATCCTAAGATACTCATATGTACACATGTCCTCTTTTGACAGGAAGGACAAACTTTTAGGTTGCAGAACTATCCAGCAAAAAATACCCAATTCCAGGTTTTTCAAAGGATCTGCGCTGAAACCAGCTGATTTTGTATCTTTTAAGGAAAGAGGTGACCCCCCCCCCCCAAATGAGGCCTTGAGGAAGGAAGTAGGGATCTCCTGCTTGAACAGGGGGGTTGGACTAGAAGACCTCCAAGGTCCCTTCCAACGCTGTGAGACCACGTGGCAGCATTAAAGTGACTTACTTATCGCTTTCCTGGGAAATGTAGAGACGGTTAGATAAACTGGCTAAGAAGGCTTCGACGATGACAGGATCGATGGTCAGGCCGGCTTTCAAACACCTGCAAGATATATAATTTGACCAAAAGGTTCAGGCCTTCAAATTCTCTTGAGAAATCCATGCAGGTAGTCCTCAAGTTTTTGACTTTGGCAAAAATCTGCTCTTCGCGAAGAGCCACGGTTGGCTTTTCAACCGGTTGAGAGGACCACCTCTTTGCATACCTGAGATGAAAACCTACCTGCAGATGTTATCAATGGCAACGTCCCGGAGCTGTTCGTACATGGAGGATTCGTTTTTCTTTCC